AATACGTCATTCCATATTTCATGTTTTTCTGTGTTGAGCTCCATGCATTTTCCATTGTCCTCTTGAAAGGCTTTACATACTCCTTGATCCTGTTTATTGCAATCATCATTTCCATCAAAGTCTGCCATGTCCCTAAGTTTGGTGTCAATAACAAATATTGTTCCTTCAACCCCTAAATCCAATTCATTGATTGTATTTGGTGACCAAGACCCAAAATGAGCCAATAATACATCCTTCTGCCTTCCAATATTTCTGTCTACATCTCCTTCAACACCATTTTCTTGGTCATAACTCTGTTGATAGAGCACCTTTACTATTGTGTTTTAACGTACATGAACAACATCCTTCACTTTGTCTGATTGTATTCTGCTACATCTCCAAATGGTATTGTAAATTTGATTAATCACAGTTAGGATATCAGAAATTCGTGGTGAATTACTCTAGTAATTAGTTTTTCTGGTGTTTAGTAATTTCATCTTGCATATTTATCAAAACTCAAGAAGTCATGATCTGGTTTATTCCTATCTCTTGTTTTGAAGAGAGGTGCTGCCTTCTGGTAATGTCTGCCTTCTTAGAGGTTTGGAAAATTATAGTAAGATCCTGTAATATTTTTTCCCTTAATCCCTTCCAGGACATTTCAGGTCCTAGCAGCTTATATATCTGGGCAGTGACAGCAGTAACACAAACTTTGCATTTCTGTTTTTTTTATGTATAAGTTTGGCCAATGGGCCCTTCACAAAAGACTAATGAAAAGATGGTAAGCTAATGAAGGAGGTCCTAATAGGTGTAATCAAGAACTTAGTCAAAGAAGTAGGTATTTAGCGAAATGGAAAAGAGGAGCTAATAAATTTAGGCATGGAATTCCAGGTCATGTGGCCTAAGCAGTTGAATGGCAATAGTGGGGATAAAGAAGAAAGGAATGCACAATAGGCCAAAGTTGAAGATAATTGTTCACTCTAAGCAGTGTGATGGTTCAGAAATCTATAATATACTACCCAGCGAAGCAAACTCATTCGGTGCAACCACCTTCCCTTTCAAGGGACACAAGTGTAGCGTGCAGCAATCTTAAACAGACTACCCCATTCAAGGCTTCACACAACAAAGAAAAGGTAAAGAGAAACAAAAACAGAAATTGCTGGAAAAGCTCAGCATCTGTGGAGAGAAATTGGAGTTAGTGTTTCAGGTTGAGTGACCCTTCCTCAGAACTCTAAAAGTAAAGAGAGTATTGTTTCAAGTTGGAAGTTCTGTGAGGGGAGTGGGAGATTACAGAGGCAGGTGGGGACAATGTCAAGAAAGAATTTCAAAACTTAATTGAGAATTTTAAGTGTTTAAAGTGTTGTAGATCAGGAAAGGAGGGGGTGATGTGTGAGAGCAGAACATGGCAGGGGATAGGATCTGATGGCAGAATTCAGCATGATCCCTGATGGGAGGATGGGCAGTGTTGAATCAGTTGAGTTGGAGGTGACAAAATCATGAATGAGGGATTCTGGGGCAGAGGGGTTGAAGTAGAAAAGACATGGAAGTAAGTGATCTTCAGATCAGAGCTCAACTTGAAGCCAAATAGAACCCTGTGGCTGCAAACAGACTGTTTCAGCTAAGACAGTAACCAATGCACGGATAGGATGTTTTTAAAGGTCTTCTTAATTTGAATAATTTATTTTGCCAACCCTCCCAACTCAAAACTTGCTCCATTATTTCTTTAGGGGCGCCATTAAATCACCAGTAACCTGCATTTTGTAAATATTCTCTCATAACACTTTATAGCCTTTCCAATATTTTTTGTTACTTTCTTCATGTCAGTTCTTGTTACAATCTTAGTACAGACCAGTAATTTTCTTTTTAAAAGGAGAGCATCCAATATCCCAGTTAATTATTAAAAGAATGATGCCACAAAAGGTTTAAAACAGAAGAATTTTTAGTATAAAGGATTCAAACAAAGCAAACAATTAGTATTGTCTTAGGTAGTCTTATACTCTCAATACCAGAAAATAAACATGAATTAGTCAATTATGAACTAAATTACACATCAAAAAGAAGACACAACTAAGACAAATCTTGTAAATTGGCTGAGCAGTTTACTTAAAATGTAGGTGGTCAAACTCAGTCACAAAAAGTCCTACAAATTCACTCTCCCTCACAAATAATTTCAGCTCCTCACTCTGACTCCTCAACAGCAAACCATGTCCAACCTGAGTTTCCACGGGCCCAGTCTGAAGCAAAGTTGGTACACATCTGCAAAACGTTCTCAACCTGACATGGAAGGCATTGATTCACCAGTACCATCTTCAAGCCACAAAAACAGCTACAGCTTCTGAGTAATTGCGTATTCTCAGCTTCTAGATCTGCCCTCTGTTTTCTTCAGCCTGCCTGTAATGCACTCTTTCGATTTTCATGTAGTTTCAATCTCCTCAGAAGTTACAGTTTCTAATCTTGGTTACAATTTTAGTTTCCCTTTTCTGGTTGTTTTTTTTTCAGTGAGGGTCCATCTAAAACAAAATAAAAGCTCTGAAAGCACAAACGCCATCACATTAAATACATGTCCAAATTTAATCTTTCTATTCATCTATGGACTGCTCCCATTTCCTTTTTCCTTACGGGAATGCATTGGGCCATGCAAGCTTTCCATTTCCTGTATTAATACTGCCAGTTTTTGGTCTGCCGTTCTAGTTGATCATTTATATATTCCATTTTAATCCATGCTAAATTTTTAAATTAAATACCTTTTCTTTTAATAATGAACTATATTGAGGTCAAGTTTTCCCAAAAGGTCCCCTACTTTTAGCTTGTCTATTTTCACTGCCTCATGACCCAGAACACTATCAAGGATCATTTCCTTTCTTTATTAAGTGTAGCAATCCAATTACTGAGGGAGAATATGTTCTGAATGCACTTCATGATTTTTGTACTTACATAATAAACATTACTGCAGTTAGGACAGCTGATCCAAGATTCATATTAATGCATGCTATTGGAGTGGCATGATGGTTCAGTGGTTAGCACTGCTGCCTCACAGTGCTAAGGACCCAGGTTCAATCCTGGCCTCGGGTAACGGTCTACGTGGAGTTTGCACATTCTCTCTGTGTCTGTATGGGTTTCCTCTCACAGTCTAAAGATGGGCAGGTTAGGTGGATTGGCCATGCTAGATGTTACCTTGTAGTGTCCAGGGATATGTCAGTTGGGTGGATTCTCCATTGGGAATGTAGGGTAGGGGGGTAGCCCTAGCTGGGATGTTCTTCAGAGAGTCAGTGCAGACCCAATGGGCCAAATGGCCTGCTTCCACACTGTGGGAATTCTATGATTGATGTGTGGCTGAGTCATTTTCAACAGACAATCTGCTTAAGATTTCACAGGTATGCAAATTGTAATATGCAGTTAGGAAGTCCTGAGACAGAGTTTGTTCAACCAATGACACAGCAATGAGTTACAATTTTAATATTGATGATAACTGGGAGTTAGAAGACAAATGTCAGAGGAGCAGTGAAGATTGTATCAACTAAAAAGAAATATTATTTTTGATGGAAATTGTATTGCAAGGGAGATGCTAGAGGCTTGAGAAGGAAGTTTACATTGAATTGGAGATAGTAGGAACTGCCAATGGTGGAGTCTGCGATAACAAGGTGTAGAGCTGGATGAACACAGCAGGCCAAGCAGCATCAGAGGAGCAGGAGAGCTGACGTTTTGGATCTGGACCCTTCTTCAGAAATGGGGGAGGGGAAGGGGAGGCAATGATGGAAACCCCACCCCCACTTCCTACCTACACTCACCTTTACTGGCTTCATCCCCGTCTCCTTGACCTGTCTGTCTTCTCTCCACTTATCTGCTCCTTTATCCACCTTCTATCATCACCTCCCCTCTCCCTATTTATTTCAGAGCCCCCTTCTCCTCCCCCATTTCTGAAGAAGTTTCCAGACCTGAAACGTTAGCTTTCCTGCTCCTCTGATGCTGCTTGGCCTGCTGTGTTCATCCAGCTCTACACCTTGTTACTTTGAATTGCACCTGAGCAGAAGATGGTGGAAAAGCATCGTTAAGCCTAAAGAGCAAGTGTTGAAACCTTAGGTTCATGGGCTTCTTGAGTGATAGGCAAGCTAAAAGAAAACAACTTTTTGGAAGCAACTTTATTAACTGATAGAAAAGTGGGATTCCATTTGAAAACAGCCGAATTTATGAGATCAAGAATGTAAATAAACCCTCAAGATGCAGATTTTTTTTTACTTATTCATGGGATGTGGGCATTGCTGGCTGGGACAGCATTTATTGCCCATCCCCAGTTGCCCTCGAAAAGGTGGTGCTTAATTGCCTTCTTGAATGGCAAGGGAATTTCAGGATTTTTACCTAGTGACACCAAAATAATGGTTATATATATTTCTAAGTCAGGATGGTGAGCGGCTTGGAGGGGAACTTGCAGCTGGAAGAGTACACAAATAAATAAACATGTAAAACAGAAGGTGCTGGAGAAACCCAGCAGGTCTGTTGGCATCTATGGAGAGAGTAACAGAGTTACATTTTGAATCTGGGATGATCTTCTTTGAGTTCTGAAGAATAGTCCCCTCGGATTTGAAACGTTGCCTCTGTTTCTCTCGCCACAGATGCTCCCAGATCTGCTGCGTTTCTCCAGCAATTTTCGTTTCTATATCAGATATCCAGCATTCTCAGTGCAGTGCTTTTATTTGAGGGAGATTTGTTAGTTGAGCGTGTAACACATGTTTAGCTCCAGTTAAACAATATATGCACTTTGCCAGCCTTTTTAGGTATTCACATTTTTGTTGTGCACGTGTCATACCTGCTTTTAACACAATCTATAGTATTTGATGTCATTATTTTATTGTAGGGAGCACTGTCAAAGTTTGATTTTAATTAAAATTGATTTCAAAAGTCTGCTTTCAGGTGTTCGGTGTCTGCAGATGACGGTACTAATTTTGTTTTCTCTATGTGGCTACTGTTGATCTCATACAAGGTGACTTACCTGGAAGTGATATTTTCCTTCTCTCTCAAACCCACAGGTTGGACTGCACTGAAATAGCTACATGGCTTACACACTAACCCCAGATCCTGCAGCACTTGTCGGCTCAGCCCAGTGCTGTGTCTGTAAAGTGGAGCTCTCTGTGTCTGGCCAGAATCTCTTAGACAGGGATGTCACATCTAAATCTGACCCATTCTGCGTAGTGTTCATGGATATCAACGGAAAATGGTCAGAGGTAGGAGAGCAATTGTTTTCCCATCTAGGTAAAGCATGTAACTTCAGACTGCCTCAATCTATTAATAAAAATGTTTTTTTGAATTAACATGGTTTCCTTTTGAAAGAGTCTGATTGGGAAACATGGCAGTAAATGGTGAAGTGTAGAAAGAGATGAAATGACCAAGGCAAGAAATGGACATTTAAGGATCTGATCATTCATTTTCCCTGTCTTTATCCCCATAAGCCTTGATTCCCTTGCTGATTAAGTGTCTGTTTCACATAAAGAAGGAGAAGAAAGTAACCAGTGTGGAGCTGGAGGAACACAGCAGGCCAGGCAGCATCAGAGGAACAGGAAAGTTGATGTTTCGGGTCTGGACCCTTCATCAAAACTGGGGAGGGGGAAGGGAGCTGGGAAATAGAGAGAGCAGGGGTGGGGCTGGGGAAGGTAGGTGGGATGGTGATAGGTGAGTGCAGGTAGGCAGTGGTGGGGATTGGTCAGTGAGGTGGGAGGGGTGGCTAGGTGGGGAGGAAGATGGACAGGTTGTGTCACGTCAAATAGGCAGGAATGAGCGGGAGGGATGGATGTGGCATGAGGCTGGGAGTGGGGAGATTTTAAAACTGATAAATTCTATGTTCAGGCCATTGGGCTGTAGGCTCCCGAGGCAGAATATGAGGTGTTGCTCCTCCAGCTTGTGTGAGGCGTCATTGTGACACTTGAGAAGGCCCAGGATGGACATGTCACCAAGGGAGTGGGAAGGGGAGTTAAAATGGTTAGCAACCAGAAAGTGTTGTTGATGATAGCGTACAGAGTGCAAATGCTCCACAAAATGGTCATTGAGTCTGCGCTTGGTCTCGCCGATGTAGAGGAGGCCACATTGGGAGCAACGGGTACAATAGACCAGGTTGGAGGATGTACAGGTGAACCCCTGTCGGATATGGAAAGACTACTTTGGGCCTTGGATGGAGGTGGGGTAGGAGATGTAGGGGGAGATGCGGAGGTTGGTGGGACGGTATTTGAAGACCATAGGGATTCTGTCTTTAATTTTGTTGAGGGGAGGGGGTTTGGGGGTTTGAGGGCAGAGGTGTGGGAAATGCAAGAGATGTGATTGAGGGCATTTTTGATCACTGGAGAGGGGAAGTTGCGGTCCTTGAAATAGGAGGACTTCTGGGATGTCCAAGAGTGGAACGTTCCATCTTGGGGGAGGAGGCAGAGGAATTGGGAGTAAGGGATTGCATCCTTGCAGGAAGGTGGGTAAGAGGAGGTGTAGTCCAAGTAGCTGTGGGAGTTAGTGAGTTTGAAATAGATGTCGTAACTGAGACAGTTACCAGAGATGGAGACGGAGTGGCCCAGGAAGGGAAGGGAGGTATCAGAGATGGTCCAGGTGAAAGTTGATGAACATCGACTCTCCTGCTCCTCTGATGCTGCCTGGCCTGCTGTGTTCCTCCAGCTCCACACTGTGTTATCTCTGACTCCAGCATCGGCAGTTCTTGCTATCTCAAAGAAAGTAACCTGAACCTTTTGGGAGATCTAATCCAAAGGGATGACAGGGCTGGACACCAAGGTGTCAGTGATTAAGAACTTCATTGAAATGCCCAATCAGACACAGGAGTTGTGGGAGGTACTGGGCAAGCTGACCTAAAAGTTGCAGAACTGCACCAACACTGTTGGCATCAAGCTACTGTTGGTACACCAGTGCCTGGCTGCCTCCATGCATGGGTTGGTGGTTGCCATGGTGAGCCAGGTTGGGCTGTCTCAGACTCTACCAGATCAGTACACAGACTGTACATCATCAATCCAACCATTAGCCCAGCACCAGTGATGAAGTGAGAGGGCCTGAGGGACTCTGGCCTCACTCTTTACATGGAGGTAGGGCAGCGTCAGTAAGCACCCAGTTGGAAAAGGAACCACATTCAGGCTTCGTGGAAGTCTGCTGTCAGGATACCCTAGAGGACCTTCCACCCACACTCTTCTTGCCACCTTCAGCCCTGGGGGAGTTCACATCCTGTTCCTTTGGGCAGGATGCACTCATCATGCCCTTCAGCTACAAACACCCCAGAGATCACCCAACTAAAATGCCAATGTGAATGGGCTCTAATGTAGGGCAGGCTGCTTCCACCTCAACCTTGAATCCCAGTGCTACACATAGACATAGTGGGAAGGAAAGAGAGAAACTTCTGACAGCACATGGGTGGCATGGGCGACACTTCATTGTAAAAATGTCCCCACATTTGTAAATATACATTCACTTTTTATCATCAGCCTTGTGAGACAATGTCTGTTTAGCTGAAGCTACAACACTGAAGGTACAGAGCTGAGGCATCCTTCCCACTACACAAGGGTTTATGCTCTAAGATGTGATGGTAGAGGCTCCTACAGCATGTGCAGGCTATAGGAACTTGGAAGGTGCTCGCTCCCTTGTCAATGAGTGAATTTTTCCAGGGCGCATTGCTAGTACGTCTCAGCCAGAAGTGAGACTGATATCGGGTGCTATATCATGTGGTCAAGAGTACTTGGGGCAAACAGTGCCTGCACGCTGTGGGTTATTGCTTAAGGTTTACATACAGCATAAGGTGCTCACAAGTGTGTTTCAGTTTTAGTGTTGGGTGTTGCTCGTTAAAGGGTCCCATATCGATTAGAGAACAAAGCACTTAGCCCAGCCTCTCCATGGATGGTGGGAACCGTTTCCAGCTCCATTTTGCACTTGTTATTTAGAACCTAATAGAAGGAAACAGCAGCCATTCCTCAGGCAGAGGGTCCCAGGCTCTTATCTTTGGTGAACCCCCAAATATGCAAGTTCCGTCCTTGGTAACCTCCCAGTCGACTCTCCAGTTTCAAGCTCTCCAAGGTCCAGTCTTATCTGAACCTTTAAGTTGCACTTTATCTTGCAGACTGAGATCTGTTCAGTCATTGTACCTGATAAACTAATCCATTGTCTCCCCTCCCGCCCCCTCCCATAGCAATGGTCCCTGATAACTCCCCCTTTGACTTTTAATGGAACGACCCTCAGGAATGGTTTCCTGCCTTGACCACCTCAGGACAGACAGCCCCAACTGATAGCTGACCAGACTGGACCCACAGGTTGACTATGGCCCACTACCTAGACTATAGAGGTAGGGGCCCACTGATCGGATTGTGACCCCACTACACACCCAAAATAAAAGTGGCTGGCTAACTGACTGCCCTCAAGCCCCTGTACCAATATCAGAGGCTGGTCTTGACTTACACTGCCCAGACACCTACCCCACCCTCCCTCGACTACAGAGTGTCTCCCTTTATTTGACTGACAACTCTTCTCCTCCTTATGTTTTCAGAAATGGCCATTTGGCTGGGGCACGTGAAGTGTGTTTGCTGTGCAAGCTGCTGGTACCTGAGGGAGATGTAGCAATGTAGAGCAATGTGACTAATGGTTGCTTGGTTCTGTGTCTGCACTAAAGAGGTGAGGCAGGACATAAATACTGTGAGCTTCTAAGCTCTGGATGAAGGAGGAGAGTAGGGCAGGGATGCTGAGAGCATCAAAGTGGGCACATAATGAGTGAATGCTGAGAGAGCAAGCGAGCAGCTCCGAAATGCAGCTGGGTCCAGTCCATGACTTGTGTCCTTCCCTCTGGGCTAACTTTCCTTGCTGTATGAAAGCTGTTGGCTCACTCCAAATTGCAGCGTTGAAGTACAAAGCTGCCTTGTAAGTGGATTGATGATGTGCCAAGAGGGTGCGGTGAGGTTGGTGTATGTCAGATGCCAACGTCTGTAGATGGTTGGATCACTGTCCACAGTGTGCCCCGAGATATGGTGCCAGGTATCCAAGGTGGAAGGTGCCAGATAACCACTCTGACTTCCGTGTTGGGAATTGTAAATGTCTGGTTTCTATCCAGCGGGTGGGAGAATGAGGAAACTGCATATTTATGAGGGGAGATTAGGTAATAATGAGATGGTAATACATGCAAATAGGCCTCTCACCACACTTGCTTGGAAAATGGGAGTTTTTGCTCTTGAAGTTAGGAAGCTCCTTTCTGGAAGCCTCACCCAATTTTCCCAAGCTTCTCACTCTGGCCCAAATTGTTTAGTTCCTGTGATAATTTTGCCCATTGAATACAGAAATCTAACGAAGATCTGAATTTCCTGTATTTGGTTCATCTGGAAAATTCATAATCAATCCCCAAGCTTGATACAGGCAAGTTTAATATTTCTTACCCACATTTCCAAAATGAAAATGTATCACTTGGCACATCTACATCTATTGCCCAGCTCTTGTTAGGCTCACAGGCTCACTTTTTTTGAAAAGCTGGTAGTAAATTAACACAATGGAGTGGCTCGTAAGACCCCTTGAGAGTGAAAGTCAGAATCAGTCATGTTAGCGAGAGACAGTTGATTCCTATATCCAGTCTTATGCAGACCAAACAACAAGAAGATGCAACCAGTGAATTAGGTTTGTTAGTAATTAGGATTACTGTTACCTTAAAGTAAAATGACCATTTTTACTTCTTTAGAAGTAGTTCTTAGGCTAATTATCTTCTATGATGTGCAGAGTCAGAGATAAAACAGTTCTATAAAGATACAAACTTGCAAATTTGCACTTTAATCAGTACTTTGCAGACTGTGTCTTCTGTTCCCTTGAGTTGTAAATAGCTCTTTGTTGATGCAGAATGTCTATCTGAATTTATTTTTAAAGAACAGCATTGCATTCTTTAAAATAGAACAATGGCCCATGGCATTTCACAGAGTTACAATCAAAAAAATGATACTTAGTCAAAGGACAAGTTGTTAGAAGAGTTGAAATAAAATCTTGGTCGAAGGGTTGGGTCCAAAGGAATGTTGTAAAGAAGAAAAGCATCTGGATGGATATAGGAATAGGAAGGGATAAGAGGGATATGGGCCAAATGCTGGTAAATGGGACTAGATTAATTTAGGATATCTGGTTGGCATGTATGTGTTGGACTGAAGGGTCTGTTTCCATGCTGTACAGCTCTATGACTCTAAGGGAATGTGCAACACCAAATGGATGTGCAAAGGTAATTCAAGAGAATATGACCTGGGCAGATGAAAGTGCAGTTGTCATTGGCAGAGAGAGCAAGGAGCAGATGCACGGGATTTAGGATAAGAGTTTGAGGGAAGGGCATATTAGGGTTAGAGAAGTTTGCGATGATTGGGGAAGGACAAAGTCATAAACTTGAATAATAGAAACTATAAATTTGAGATACCTGGGGGACGGACAGCCAGATGAAGAAGAGAGATAATGGCTTACAATTTATTGCAAGTCCCTCAAAACTCTGTTATATTCATTCAAGTTGCTAGGAGGGAGAAAACTGTGGGTTTTATATTAGTGCCAGGCCACACACAGAGAGAGAAGGATATATTGTTTTAAAAATGAACACATCACATGGCACAAAGTAAAAATCGAGGAGTGAGCCCGGAGACATAAGCCGAGGATGTTTAGCTATCCCACGTAAAACCATCTGCTGTAGGAAACATTGAGAAAACCAGACCTGAGGAGCATGTCTCTTGTACCGATTCACTCCCCCACTCTTAAACAGATTCGTGCAAAAGATAAATGTTGTGATACCTTAATGGAAGGATGAGCTCAATGGATTGAGCAGTATCCCAGATCTCTATCTTCTACAATACAAAAATTAAGCTTAGCATGTTACCCAGCATCTACACCTCTGTATACTATATTAGGAAATAAATACCCAGTGTACCATTTGTTTCCATGTTAGGACATTTGCCTAAAATTAAACTCTTCCTGTTGTCTCCTCTGACAGATTGGCCGAACAGAAACAGCCATGAACAACCTAAATCCAGTATTTGCCAAGAAATTTGTGGTAGACTATCATTTTGAAGAAGTGCAGAAACTGAAGTTTGCCTTGTTTGACCAAGACAAATCCAGTAAACAGCTTTATGAGCATGACTTTCTTGGAGAATTTTCATGTACGCTCGGAGTGGTGGGTCTCTCTTTTCGTACAATCTTGAGTTATTCCAAATCCTCCCAAATCTTCGCTAACTTCAGTTACAAAAGTAAAATTTTGATTCATGATGCAGATTGTTTCAAGTAAGAAGATGACAAGGCCGCTTGTTCTGACCAATGGGAAACCTGCTGGAAAAGGAACAATAATGGTACAGTCAAGTTTAATTTTAACTTTTGTTAGAGTCGCTGATTTTTCATCGTTTTTATTTTATTCGTTTATCAATTTTGGTTTGGAGCTGTGAACTGGGAGCAGTGATCTAGATAATTTTTGAAATGTGGGTAACAGCTTGTGTTAAAAGGAAAACAGACCAATCAAGCTTTTAAGGAGAAAATTACTGCAGATGCTGGAATCTGTACTGACAACAAAAAATGCTGGAAATCACAGCGAGTCAGGCGGCATCTGTGGAGAGAGAGCAAGCTCACGTTTCAAGTCTGAATGAAGAGTCATCCAGCTGCCTGACCCTCTGTGATTTCCAAACAAGCTTTTGTTTATTTGTGAGGTCAGGTCTGAAAATTAATTGCAGATTCGTTCCTGATCAAAAGGTTCTGCAGATAGTTCATCATCAGAGAAGAGCATTATGTTTAAAAAATTAGCAGAAGTTGGCTACTAATGAGGGCAGTACCTGGAAATTGGTTCCATCATCTCCAGAAAAGACCTTATGTTCAAACAGATGGCAGACTTGGAATGCTAACTGGGACCTCATAAAGGAGATAGTCTATGAGGGAGTTGTTGGAGTTTGATTTGGGTTTTGGACTGTGTTTTCTGTGAGAAGGAATCTGCCTGTTGGTGCTACAGCTTAAAGTTTTGAAAGCTCACTACCTCGCCTCCCATCGGCAGTTCTTAGATGCTCACAATAGACAACTAAGTTATAAATATTACTGCCTTTATCTGAGTGAATTGGAAAGGTGACCCTGATCAAAATCTTCTGAAAATCAACCATGAAACAATCATTTATACCTGTGGAACAATGCACTGTGCAAACCACTTAAGTAATCTGAAAGCAAAGGTTTTTGAGGTTTATAGCGTAGACCAATTAGATTACTATGTTTAACTTTGCTCTACTAAAGTTATATTATTGTTAATAAATTGCTAAGTCTTTTGTTTAAGTTACAAACTTGTGTCGAGAATTGAGTATTCACAAAGTGTGGGATTGGTGATTCAAAAGTCTGGTTAGGAGCCATTGAGGTCAATTTTGTGTGTCTTTGAATGTTTGAATTTTACTGCGTTGTGAATACAGAGATAGAAAGGCTGATTTTGGTTCGGCTGATGGTCTCCATGTTGTAACGCTTCCACTATTTCAGCAAAAGAAACTGTTAAAATAAAATGAACAAAACGTGACAGCTTTACCATTCTGGTTTACCATTCTGACCAGATCAATTGTATTGAGTTTCTGATAGAATTACTATTTGGAACTGGGAGTTGATGCAAGGAAGAAATAAAATTGGAGACACCAGAATATGCTATATTCTTCTTGTCACTATGCAGCTGATCTGAGTGTGCTTGACTTATCACTTAACACCCAACTAAATTAGTGAATAAACTTGTGAATTATATACTTGGACTCCATGCTGGCTCCTCATTGAGTAGATTTTGTGCTGCTGTAAATTCTAAGGCATTATAAAGTCAGCCACCTAATGTACAGGAGGCATGTGGACAGTGACAGATTGAATAAATTTACCAAATGAAATGTTGATGCATTTTCACCTGCCTTTACAGATAAGTGCCCAAGAAATCTCCGATAATAGAGTAATCACCCTCAGCATGGCTGGAAGAAAGCTGGACAAGAAGGTAAGCCTTTGTCTATGATATGGTGGATAGAAACATAGAAAGGACTGCAATCACCCCATTGTTTTTCTCACTATCAAGTGAAAAATGTTCTGAAACGATACTTCAGTGAAACTCAGACAGAAGTTCAAACTTAATTACTACCAAGCGCGATGAATTGCTTGCTTCCCAATTCGATGCTTAGCTCGCTTTAGATTTGAATAATTCCTGTGGTATTATGTGCTTCATACAGACTGTGGTAACTACTGCATGGACCTAAGACTGCCTTTTAAAACTCAGCTGAGTTCCTTTTTAAATACCAATTGCTGATGCATAATTTCTCAGCAAATCACCACAGAATGATTCATAGGTTAAATTATGAGATTAGAGCCCACAGTGTTGGAGGTGGTATATTAGCGTGGATGAAAAATTGGCTAATGTGCATAAACTGGCAAGTGGGGATAACGGGATCTTTTTCAGGCTGGTGAACCTTGACCAGTGGAGTTCCAGAGGGTTCAATGCTGGGACTGTAACATTTTACAATACAAATTCATGGCTTGGATGAATGAAGTGAATGTATGGTAGCCAAATTTGCAGACGACACAAAATTAGCTGGAAAGGCAGATTGTGAGATGGATATAGACAGTTTACAGAGAGATATTGATGGGTTAAGTAAATGGGCAAAACATTGTAGGGCATTTGGAGATCCTTGTACATGAAACACAGAAAGCTAGCACACAAGTGCAGCAGGCAATCGGGAAGTCTAATGGAATGTTGGCCCTTATTTTAAGGGGGTTGGAGTATAAGAGTAGGGAAGTTTTACTGCAACTGTACAAGGTGTTGGTGAGACCACATCTGGAGTACTGTGTGCAGTTTTTGTCCCCTTATTTAAGGAAAGATCTTTTTAGAAGCAGTTCAGAAAAGGTTCACTAAGATGACCCCTGGTATGAAACGATTAACTTGGCGACAAAGACTAAACAGGTTGGGACTCTACTAACTGGACTTTAGAAGAATGACAGGTGATCTCATTGAAACATATAAGATTCTTAAGGGGCTTGACAGGGTAGGTGCTGAGAGGATGTTTCCCCTCATGGGAGAGTGTACGACCAGACGCATAGCCTTAGAATAGAGGAGCACCAATTTCAGACTGAGATAAGGAGGATTTTTTTCTCTCAGAGGGTGGTGGTTCTTTAGAACTCCTTGCCACAAAGAGGTATGGGGGCAGAGTCCTTGTATATATTTAAGGCTGAGATTATCACCTCTTGATCATTATCCGAGATCTTTATCATTAGGAGAATCAAACGTTATGGGGAAAAGGCAGGAAAGTGGGCGTGAGGAATATCGGATCAGCCATGATCCTATTGAATGACAGAACAGGCTCGAGGGGCCGAATGGCCTAAACCTGTTCCTTTTTTTTTGGCCTCCTTCTGGTCATTTGGATTTCCATCTGGGACATCCAATACCAAGATCTCAGGGCACACTTTATGGGCAGTGACCGGACACAACCCCCTTTCACAGGCTTTGGCATCACCACATCTCTTTTGGCACATCTCTGATCCATTTACAAAACGGCTCTGTACTTCAATGCTGCAGTTTAGGTTGAATCAGAATCTTTCATTGCAATGCTGCTGCAAGGACAGTTAGCCAATAGAGAAGGATACCTAGCTCACAAATTGAACCAGGCTGTATCTCCGGTCTGCTTGTTTGCTCTGGGGAAACCATTTGTGGAGATTGGAAGCAGATTGCTGGGATGCAGAGGGGATAAGAGTTGGGAATGGAGGCTGTAAGTGAGTGGAGACTAATGATCACTAAAAGCAGAAGGGGTAATGTAGAAGTGTATGTGAAGGAGGCATCATTCACACTCAGCAAACACTCACTCCGATGGCAAGGTCAGTGCTCTCCTGGATCTGGCAGGTTGACTAGCTATGTCTGGGGCTGAGGGGGTAAAGTGGGGAGAAGAAGATATTGATAGATGGGTTGGGTGGGAATGTTGGCAAGTTTAACACCAGTGGTGTTCATAGAGAGAGCTACCCAGAAGGAATGTGTATACCTGGGGGCTCACCAAGGATAAGAGGCTAAGCCTGAGACGCATCTGTTTCCTTTCATCAGGCTTTAAGTAACAAGTGTGCAATGGAGCAGGAAGTAGCTGCTACCACATGTGGACTAAATATTTTGTCCTCTGAGGGTGGGAATTCATTTTTCAGCGATATGAGACCTTTTGGCCTCCTTCTGGTCATTTGGATTTCCATCTGGGACACCAGATACCAAGATCTGAGGACACACTTTATGGGCAGTGACCGCACACAACCCCCTTTCACAGGCAGCATTACATAGACACATAAACAGTACTGCTGAAGGACATGTTATGTGAACCTGAGGCTTTAACACTGTGTAGAGTCCAGATCCTAGCCCCAGGAGACCCTGAGTGTGTTTGTACCTCAAGAGCCTGTCCAAACGCAACTTCACCCTCCTCAGTCCAGCCTCTACAGGGTTCAGAGGAGCTGGCAGTGTGGAGGGGTGTCAAGTATCCCAACAATTGAAACATTTCTAACTTGCTGTTTTGCCCTTCTTCCTTCCATTGTGTCTCTAAGAGGTCCTTATTTTGTGTGTATGGGTTGGACTGTAAAATTATAGGCATTTGGGAGTTGTTCACCCACTCATACAAGCACTTACCTGAAGATGGCTGAAAATCAGACCTCACAGGAAAGAGGCACTTGGTAGATTATTTTTGAGGCAAACAATCCGGTTATTCAAATAGTCAGCTTGAGCATTGTCCAGTAATGATTCTTACCCCCTAAGCCAAGGGGTAGTTGACACCTCAATGCCCTTTGGCAGTTCCCCTCCAAGTGCATTGCCCCTTGTCCTGCCGTAACTGTATGTGCTTCAATAGATGGAATATTTTCACCTTCTAAAGGGTCTATATTGCTCAGAAATGATTTCCCACCCTCGGAGAGTTACAGTTACCCAGCCCAATTAAACTGGAACCAGGTTATAATCACGTCTTTGGGACAAACTGAATATGGCTGTCCAGTTTTCCTTGTCTTTTCAGACTCCATTATCTGTCAGAACTGTTAGCTGTATAAACTGCTCACTAACCTCATGTGCATCACTTCCTCATTAGGTTGGGGGGGGAGGTGGTGGCACCAAGAAATGGTGTCCCACCTTCTCCATACCCCCTCCCCAAACCCAAGCATAAATGGCTTCTGTGCTTTTATTTATAGAATATGCCCTTGCTTCATATCTGCAACCTGTGCTGAAAAAGCAGATTGTTCACATTCATGCGGGTACTCATTTCAATATGTAGGACCGAGTGGGAGGTTCAGCTTGGAGCTGGGAGCGATGGGTGCATGATGCTTAGGAGCCTGTGCAGTGAGGCATGTTGGCATGGCTGGCGCAACAACCACAACTAGGTGTGTCTGTGCCCATAGCTCTGCATTTGCATCTCACCCACCTCTCTCTTCCGAGAGCTCCACCCCAGGACTGCAGCCTTAATAGCTTGTACAAATGTGGCCCAGCCATCGACAGGCTGGAAGTGACTGGCTAACAGAATGGAACGGCAAAAGGATGCTATTTATTTGGATTAAGTATGGAGCATTTTGATTTTCTTTCCAGGCCATACCATTTTTCAAGCTGCTCACACACTTGGCACCAGCATTCAAGAACATTAGTGAGTGTTTCGCTGCGGTATCACATACACACACACGCATACACACACACACACACACACATGTACACACATATACATGATATATATGATTTTGGAATCCTTCTTGCATTACAAGGGCCTTTTAATCTGCAGTAACCCCGCTTGACAGAAAGATGTCTTTCTTTAGTATCGAACTATCTAAAAATCCTGGAATGGCACCCTCCCAAGAATAATTTGAATATTGCTGCCATTTAAATAGGTCTTATTTTAATTTTCTTACAGGATCTTTTTGGAAAATCCGATCCCTATTTAGAATTCTATAAACAAGAGGAAGACGGAAAATGGATGCTGGTACATCGAACAGAGGTAGTTTTCTTGTCTTATTGAACCGAATCGTCTGCTTTTAGTGTGGTGAGAATGAGGAGCAAAATGTTTCCCCATGACACTGGCTTTAGTATGAAACCCCCTCTATATCTGCACAGGTAATACTCCCATGTGCCTATATTAAAACACTGCAACACATTGAGTTTACCAGTTTTGGTTTTTGAGGGGGAGGGGTGGTAAAGAGGTTCGAGTGGGAGGGGATGGTGGTAGTGAAAGGAAGAGGAGGTGGGGTTGTTGGCAGAGGTTGAATGAGGGGAAGTAGGGGAACTGACAGATTTTTCAAGAAAGATTCAGAACTAGCGAGCCCTACTACCCAGAAGGGCAGCAGGGACATGCGAATGCCACCACCTACAAGTTCCCTTTCAACTCTCATGCCTTCCTGACTTCGAAAAATGTTACCATTCTTTCATCGTTGCAAAGCGTAGAACTTTCTACCGAATGACACTGAGGATATACGTACAGTCACATGGACTGCAACACCTCGAGAAGGTGCATCATCACCACTTTCTTAAGGGCAACCAAGGAAGGGAAATTCATATTGGCCTTGCCAGGGATGTCCATATCCCAAGAAAGGGCAAAGATACTATTGGGACTTTTTTCACTGGAGCATAGGAGGTTGAGGGCTGACCTTCTCGAGGTTTATAAAATCATGAGGGGTGTAGATAAGGTGAATGATGAGTGTCTTTTCTTTAGGGCGGGGGAGTTCAAAACTAGGGGACGTATTTTTAAAGTGAGAGGAGAAAGATTTAAAAAGGACGTGACGGCAACTTTTTTATTTACACAGTGGTTAGTGTGTGGAATAAGCTGTCAGAGGAACTGATGGATGTGGGTACAGTTACAACATTTAAAAGACATATGGATAAGGACATGAATAGGAAAGGTTTGGAGGGATATGGGCCAGGAGCAGGCAGGTGGATCTAGTTTAATTTGGAAACATGGTCAGTGTGGACTGGTTGGACCAAAGAACCTGTTTGCATGCTATATGACTCTATGACAATTAAGCCCCTCCTTCTATTAAAAGCTGATTTTGAATGAATCACTTGGGAACCTGGTTCAGTTCAGCATAAGCAACAATGGATACTTCTGTTGTTTCTGTTCATTTATATCTTGTGGGTCAAAGGATTCAAACTGTTGTGAATGTTAATAGAAACTAAAATGAGAAGGAGAAGTTGCATCTGCTGATTTTGAGCTCCCTGTCATTAGTTCCCCAGCATCCACCATCCGTCTTCCTGTATCTGTAATTGCACCTATGTTTTGCTCACCGTTGTTAGTGCCACTTCGCTCGTGTACAGAAATCTAAAAACTAAAAAAAACAGAGCATGATGAACTGAACGATCAATGCGCCACCCTCAAGTTCTGATGCTATTTGTGTTCCAGTGGGGAGGCTTGCATTGTGTCTTTCATTTCTTGACTTATCCAGTTAGTTTCCTACAGGAACAAAAAATCCAGTGTTCACAGGAAGCCATGTAGTTATCCTTTCATGTAGTTAATGTATGGAGCTGCTTCTCAATCCATCTGACAATCCTGCAATCATTGAGATTCAATGAAATTGTTGAGCAGCTTGCCACAGAGAGACACTGCAGCTTGTGCAGGAATTAACAGTGAAATATTATTGGCTTCCTTTCTGTATCTCTGAGACTCCTGTGATTTCTGCAAGGATCTACTCCAGGCTCTTGGGCAGGGATTTTTCAATCGTTCTTCAAGAATTGTTTCAAAGGTTTTATAGTTTGAGTTAAATATTTGGATAAATTTATTGAAGTGCAATGAGACATTCTAGTGCTTTTCAAATTTCAGAAAATCAGTGACAAAATTTGTCCTGTCTTAATACGTTTGGGCGTAAATTCTCTTTTATTTGTGTCCATTTATGGTGGCATATTAGTCCCATCTGCTTCTCGTTACTCTTTGCAGACTCTGACATCTCCCTAGTTCAGTCTGACAATTATTGGTAACATTTAGGAACTTTACCATTCCACATGTATAAGTTAAAGTATTGCTTATCAGTAGATTATTCAATAGCGAGAAGCTACTGTGCTCTTGGATAAGTTTGGTTTGAGCTTTGCCCCTCTTCTATATCTTCATATCACTCAGATCAATAACAATACCCTAACCTGATTACTAACTCCACCATTTCATAAATCGAGAACATGCACTTAAAAGGCAAGAGTTTTGATGACTAAATCCTCATGCTAATTTTTGAAACAAAGTCCAATGTAGAAAAAAGATGCCCATGGCGATAGATACTCTATTAATGGTATAGAGTTCGTTTGTCAAGTCAGGAAAAAGTACTGTAGCAATATGTAAAACTAAATAATACTTCAATAAATTAAAATACTTTTACAAATAATTATTACAAATTCCTCAGGCGAGTGATCTAATGGAAATTAAAGTGAACTGGGGAACCAGAAGAACGCAGAGCTGAAAAGCTTGCAGAATGTAAATCAAACTATTTGCCCAAATATCATCTCCTATATGTTGACAAGCTCTCTGTCTATTAATATAGTAAGTGTTTGCACTTAATTAAATTATCTTGGAAATATGTGCACACTGACCCAATTGATCTATCGCTATCCTTCCTCTGTTAAAACCAAGAAATGCAGTGAAGGTCTACGGAAAGTTTGACAAGCCTCCTGGGTCACTAACTGCAGTAAAGCTGCACTGATTGCAGGTTGCGGCCAACAACTGTATCATCCGAGAAACCACTTTGACTTTGACCTTGTGTCTTAACTGAGACTGAGCAACATGCCAAAGCTATAAAAACTGAAAGAACTGTGGATGCTGTAAATCAGAAACAAAAACAGAAGTTGCTGGAAAAGCTAAGCATGTCTGAGGAAGGGTTCACCGGACCTGAAACGTTAACTCTGATTTTTTTTTCTTCACAGATGGTGCCTGACCTGCTGAGCTTTTCCAGCAACTTCTGTTTTTGTCGCCAATGTTATAAAATGTTCATGAGCCTTTCGAGTTTACAGATTGGCTGTATGATGTTAGCATGGTTTGTGTGTGAGTATCAATGACTGAATAATGGTGGTCATGGTTGAGAAAATGCGCTGGCTCCATGTAGTGCGAGGATCACCATCGCATAATTGTCTATATCCTTACTCCACACATTCTACTGTGGTGTGAGATTTCATTGTACTGCACAAGAACAAAGAGAGAGAAGAAAAAAATGTATGGGAAGGCAATCGACCTATCAACCAACTTAAATCTGAAGATTCAGTTTCATTTTCAAGTAGGGTCTGAACTAATAATGAATACACGTCTTGAAACTGCAGATTCTGTTACACAATCAGTGACCTCCATAGGGTGGTGTAGAAATTAACAGTGATGAAGATCTTCCTGAGGATTTATTCAGGATAGATCACAAATGAATGTCCAACTGTGTGTGATATACCCGATGAGTGATGGAAACACAGAATTAGGGCAGCTCGCAGCTCCGCAAACACATCCCGGGGAAAGTGACCCAGAAGTCGGGATTTTCATTATTGGGTGACAAGACTCCTGGGAGTTAGACCAGGCAAACCCTGAACAAACATGGACGTTGCTGGGTGTGGAGGTAGGTTGGGTGTGTGGTGTCTGCCTTGATACTTCAACAGTATGTTGAAATTTCTTGTCAGACAATAAAACAAAACAATTGTCCAGGCCTATTCCTCACAGCCCCCTCAGCTGTCCACATAACCATGATCAATCCATACCAAGCCATTCCACCTATGCCCTGACACGGTCCCATGGTGCCTCACACTGTCTATGCCAATCTGTGTCCCTGTATCTACCCCCACAATAATTCATGACCTCCATGCCAACTATATCCCCTTCCCACCACAATGACAATTTTTCAGCTGTGTTTGTCTGCCCACCATCCATAGTCCTGTAAATCCCACACGACCTCTGTCCACCGCATAATAGATCTTATGCCAACTCGTGTCAATCCATGATTATCACCTACCACTGTTTGGCTTTGCACCTTCCTTGCCAACTCACCTACTATACACCAATGGACAGACCTCAGGATCTATGCAGAGGTAAATAAAGTTCATGAGAATTCACTATATTTTAAAAAAAAACAACTTTCATTAAATAAAATATTCACAATTTAACTTCCTTCAACAACATAATCTCTCATAGCTATAAACATTTCATTCAAGTGCATAGTCCCTTACATTAGCAACTTTTAGAATTCATATAGTCTCTAACCATGTTGAGTTGTCAATCAAACCAAAGTGGCAGACACCCTGCTGTGATAATAGAAGGTTGTGAAATCAATCATACAGATTTCTGTCAACAGTGAAAAGCAAGCACTGCTTTTTGAACACTCCAGACATGTCTTTCCAAGGAGCAGGAGTTTAAACATCATGACATTTTTACAGTAGCTTTTGATACCTTTTCTGGTTACTTTTGCCAAATCCAACGAGATTGACAGTTAATGAGTTTATGCAATTTTTACACACACTCATATATATTTTCATCAGTTCCAACAGACAGCATTTGCCTCTCAGAGGTGGCCTAGAATCTCTACACTGAGGAAGCAGACCATTTAGCCCATCTTGTCTACACTGACCCTCCAAAGAGTATCCCATTCCCCACCCTGTAACCCTGCATTTCGCATGACTAACCCACCTAGCCCACACATCCCTATGGGGCAAGTTAGCATGACTTGCTAACTAACCTGCACGTCTTTGGACTGTGGGAGGAAATCGGAGCACCCAGAGGAAACCCACGCAGACACAGGGAGAATGTGCAAACTCCACACAGGCAGGTGCCCAAGGGTAGAATTGAACACAGGTCTCTGGCACTGTGAGGCAGCAGTGCTAACCACTGAGCTACAGTGCTGCCCACAATATACATGCCATACCTTTTTCTCTAAAAGGGTACCTGACTATTCAAAGAAAGCCACAAAGTTGAGACCATCATCTATCCGGCCTAGTTTCACACACCTGGGTCACCAATGTACGACAGAACTGAGACACCTACTGATCAGATGCGGCACA